TGTCTTGAAGTGGGCTATCTAAACCTAATTCATAATGATCAGGCTGAACATCTGAAGAAGGGTCTGGTGAAGATTAAATTTGTTTGTGAATATCATATTCAATCAGAAGAGGTGAAGGTGAAAACTCTTAGCGAACCAGGGACTGTATGCTCTCACCCCAGCAACTCTGTGTGTACAGAGTGAGGAGGGTTAACTTCTAAGTGTGTTTGGTGATGAGGCAGAGTTCCTGACTCCAAAGCTAAGCATGTTCTGCTGCATGCATTTAGATACCTCACTCAGACCATTATAGTACAGCCATGAAAACTAGGAGCGGAGGAGTCATGTGTGGTTCTTGTGGGTGTTGGAGATGCCACTCTCCCCAGTTGCACACTTTGTGCCCTTGTGTGTTCAGGCTGAATGTTTGAGGAGGGCTTTTGCGAATAAAATATTCTGAACTAATGCACTGTGACATTGCATGATGATTTCACTACAGGGTACTGACACAGGGCTACCAGCACATCCTGGCTTTGGTATTTGCTGTAAAGGAGATCAATGCAAATCCCTGGATATTACCCAATGTCAGCCTGGGCTTCGACATCTATAATAGTGAGTTCAGGGCACGATGGACTTACCTTGCTTCAATGGAGCTTCTCTCCACACAAGGTAGATTCACCCCTAACTATAAATGTGGCAACAAGAACAACCCAGTAGCAGTCATTGGGGGTCCAGACTCTGAAACTTGCTTGCATATGGCAGCTACACTGTCCACATACAAGATCCCACAGGTAAGAGTTGCATCTGTAACATTAAGAATCTCCTCAAAAGTTTCTTTCCTATAAGATGTGCTTTGTTGTTTTGGCATGAAGGTGAAGCCAATAGTTAAGTGTCCTATGCCAGATCTGTAATTCTACTGAGAAAAGATTAGCCTCTAGGTGCAATGATGTGTTTGGGACACAGGGAGGTACTGAGAACATTTGCCTAAAAACTTTGATTGGACAGCTTCCATAGATCCAAGGTGAGTGCCTGCCGAAATCTGAGCCCCATATAACAACTGTGCTAGGGGGCAGGACAGAAGACAACTAGACCTTATTTGCCAATAACCTGATGAATTTCAGAGAATGTTATGAACAAATTATTAGAACAGTGTTACAAGGAAAATACTGTCCAGAGATTTATCATGGCAATGTCATGTCTCCCTTTTCATTTATTTTCTATAGCTCAGATATGGTTCACATTCAATGATGAAACACAACAACGAAGATGTTTTCTTCCACCAATTGTTCCCTCATAGCAATCATCAGTATATGGGCATCCTCAAGTTGCTGTTGCATTTCAGTTGGATCTGGATTGGGGTTATTTCCCTAGAAGATAAAAATGGAGAGTTGTTTGTACAGAATGTGCTTCCCAGTTATTCCCAGAATGGTATCTGCTTTGCGTTCATAGAAAGATGCTCCAAAAAAGCTTTTTCTGCTGACACTGGTGAAGTACTCTCAGACTGGTTTCCAGTGTCACATCGCATTATGGGAAGCAGCGCAACTGCTGTGGTCGTATATGGTGAAATCCACACGATGATCAGTTTGAGAAGCGTGATCCAGCTACCGCAATTTGAAGATATACCAGTCAAAAGAAAAGTCTGGATTATGACAGCCCAAATGGATTTCTCATCTCTTCCCTTTCAAGCAGGGTGGGGCATAGATTTCATTCATGGCTCTTTATCCTTTGCCATTCCTTCAAAGGACATATTGGAATTCCAGACATTTCTTCAGATCAGAAACCACCTCTCAGAAAAAGGAGATGGCTTTGTCAAGCATTTCTGGGGACATGCATTTGGCTGCTTCTTCCCCACATCTGATATAGAAATAATGGATGGGCAAATCTGCACTGGGGAGGAGAAACTGGAGACTCTTCCTTCTTCTGTTTTTGAAATGAGCATGACTGGCCACAGCTACAACATGTACACTTCAGTATATGTTGTGGCACATGCTTTACATAACATGTACATATCCAAATACAAACATGGAGCAAGGGCAGATAAAACGAAGTGGATGCTCCTGACTCAAAAGCCATGGAAGGTAATGTCTGGAACAGACTAATACAGATTAAGGCTCACCAACAGTCCAAATACCACCTCAAAACTTCGGTTTATACCATACCCAGTATTTGGGTTTCACATAAGAAGGGCTCTGCTGCATCAGGTTATATGGCAATCTCACTGGTATTAAGAGACAGAGGGACAATCTACACTTGTAGTTTCTAACGTTAACAATGCATTATTAAAATGTGACAACAAAGAGCAGCAATAGGACAATAGGGAAACTGCATGTTAAACATTATAGAACAATATATCTAATATCATTCTAATAACATTTAAAAGGCTGCCTCTGACAGTGGTAGAACAGTCATCTTGTTTAGCGGCCACTGACATCTTATTTTCCATTGATTTGTCTAATCCTCTATTAAGGCCATCCATTCCATCTCAGTTCTAGTTCTTTTATAATTTCCATTTTTTGAACCATTACCTAATGCATTGTCTAGGTGCATTTAGAACTCATATAACCCCTGTTTCAAAAAATGAATGGATCTCTAGTTCATCTCTGGACCTGGTTTAAAGTGTCCGTGTTAGTGTTTAAACCTCTAAATGATGTAATCCTCCAATATTTGAAAGATTGTCACCTTCCCTACATATTACAGTTAAGAACAGCAGAGGAACCCCAGACTCAGTAGTTTCATTTCCCTCATAGACTTTGTATAATCTTTAGGTGCTTCATTATCACAGCTAATGCTCTTTCAACTACATCTTCTGTCTAGACCAGTGGTGGCCAAACTTACCCCTCCAGCTGTTTTGGGACTACAATTCCCATCATTCCTGACCACTGGTCCTGTTATCTAGGGATGATGGGAGTTGTAGCCCAAAAACAACTGGAGGGCCAAGTTTGGCCACCATTTGTCTAGACAGATAAGCCTTCCAATAGCTTCTAGCAAAGCTGTTAACTACATTCCTGTAGTGAAAAATATCACCATCCTGTCGTTTAGTTGCATCCTTATCATTCTCTGCCTCTTCAGCTTCATTCCTTTCTGAGATCTGTCTCTTTTAACAACGGCGCTGGAGAAAAGGTTTCTTTTGACCAAGATGGGAATTTAGAAGCTGGATTTGATATTATCAACTGGGTCACATTCCCAAACCAGTCCTTCCACAGAGTCAAGGTTGGAAAGACTCTCCCAGATAAAGTATTCACCATCCATGAAGATGTGATTATATGGCCCAGCACATTCAATCAGGTAAGTTCTTGGGCACACAGATGGTGGTATAAACATTAGTTGTGAAAGGGTTCAGTGCTCAGAGGCCCAAATTGTTTTTATCTCTGTTAAAAAGCAATTCAGACTACAATTTTCAGTATCAAGATCTCAGATCTCAGAATACTAGAATCCTATAAACTTTGCATCCCTTTCTTTCAGTTGAACTAACCTTGGATTTGCATGGGAATTCAATATAAGTAATCAGTTGCAGTTAAGATTTCATATAAGAAACAATAAACAAATAAACAAATAACATTTCAATAGACCAAAAAAGAAATAAATGTCCCATGGATCCAAGGAAGCAAATATGTTAATCACAGAATAATTGGTTCATCTTCTGAACCATTTTTGATTAATATTTCAGTTTCAGCTTAATGAAAAGTTATTCCAGTCTTCATGATATGCCTTGATACTGGCAGATAATTCTTCAACAATTCTTCCAAAATCTAACAAAGTGCATAAAGTTAATGGTCCTCAGGTCCCATAGGTTTCAAAGGGAACAAAATGCCAATGATTCCACATAGGACATCTGCTATTGCAGTTTAAAAAGTCAGAATGTAATTACTTGAAGTTTAACTACATGTTCGAAATGCTATAAAACCTATCTTTAAAATACTGTTGTCTTGGAACTCATAATTTTATTCCCTAGGTTCAATTCTCCCTCCCTCCCTCCCCCCTTCAGAAAATGGTACTTTTTGGTACTTCTGCAATTGTTGGCCTTTTCCTAAACCTGCTGATACATAGAATAATAGAAGGTTCCCTGAGGGACATCCACTCCAACCTCCTGCAATGCATGACTCTTCCTGTGTTGTGGGAGCTGCTCCAAAAGTCCACTGAAAGAAGGTGTTCTCTAGAACAGTGTTTCCCAACCTTGTGCCTCCAGCTGTTTTTGGCCTACAATTCCCATCATCCCTTGCCACTGGTCTTGCTAGTCAGGGATGATGGGAGTTGTAGTTCAAAAACAGCTGGAGGCACAAGGTTGGGAAACACTGCTCTAGAATAGTATCATTTAACCTTGAGCCCCCAGATATCATCCACAGCCAACTGAGCCAATGGTCAGTGATGAGGGGAAGTGCAACTCAACAACATCTGGAGACCCAGGGTTGAAGAATACAGTGGTACCTTGGGTTACAGATGCTTCAGGTTACAGACTCTGCTAACCTGCCAACCTAGCAGTTCGAAAGCATGAAGTGCAAGTAGATAAATAGGTACCGCTCCGGCAGGAAGGTAAACGGCATTTCCATGAGCTGCTCTGGTTCGCCAGAAGCGGCTTAGTCATACTGGTCACATGACCCAGAAGTTGTATGCCGGCTCCCTTGGCCAGTAAAGAAAGAGGGGCGCAGCAACCCCAGAGGCGTCTGCGACTGGACCTATTGGTCAGGAGTCCCTTTACTCTTTACCTAAACCCAGAAATAGTACCTTGGGTTAAGAATTTTGCTTCAGGATGAGAACAGAAATCGTGTGGTGGCGGTGCAGTGACAGTAGGAGGTCCCTTTAGCTAAAGTTGTACCTCAGGTTAAGAACAGTTTCAGGTTAAGAATGGACCTCTAGAACGAATTAAGTTCTTAACCCGAGGTACCACTGTACTGCTCTAGAACCAATTATCTTTTATGCTGTGATACCAACAACCCATTATTATTTTTTAGCTCACTAGTAATATACAAAGTCCAAAGACTTAATGTTCTGCCTCTTCTATTTATGCACAGGCACTTCCCATTTCTCTGTGTAATGACAAATGTCATTTGGGTTATAGCAAAGCAATGAAGGAAGGGGAGCCATTTTGCTGCTATGATTGCTTTCCCTGTCCAGCTGGGAAAATTTCAAACCAGTCAGGTAAGAGATGTAGGACATAACATTTAGCCCTGTTCCGTGCCCAATAAGCACGGGACGCCTTTGCCCGGCGGCACTGTGGCCCATAGATTGCAGCAAAATAGAGGGCAAGGTGTTGCCCAGTATCTTCTCTGTGTGATGGGCTCATGAGGAAAAAGTTGTCCCATGAGCCCTTGCTGAAGAGGGGAAGGGAAAGCCTATATAAGACTGCTTCCCTTGGAGCTCACAGCCATTTTGCTTTGAGAGCTTCCCATCCACCCACCTTCACAGAGCATTCACTGAGCAATTTGGGGTCATTGGTTGACAGGGCTGGAAAGGATTTCTCCTCCCCCTCAACCTGATTGGCACTTGGTTGTTTTTTGTTTGTTTTTTGTTGTTTTTTTGGTGTGTTGTTTTTTTGTGTGTGTGTTTTTTTTTGTTTGTTTTTTTGTCTTTCCCTCAGTGAAATTATGGCTTTCCTTTGCTAGGCAGAAGAACATTGTATGAGGACAGAAATGGCATTGGTCAGGATCAACATAGTATGGGGGGGCACAAAGGGCAGGAGGGGAGGATTGACCACAGGAAACCCAAGCGTGGGTTCGGCATCTGCCTGGTTGGAACCTGCACTCTGGTTCCCCAATGAGACTTTGCTTGCTTGGCTTACACCACAGCAAGGTTCAACCCTTGCCGACTCCTGTCGTACAGGTTTGGAGCGATCGAAACCTGGCGGATCTATTCCATCAACATGGGGCTTGTGGAATGATGAACTGATCCTGGGACCCAATGCTATGCCAGCCCATGCCCTGCCCGCTGCTGTCAATAAATATTTGGCCTGGTTTTATCCTATCACCATAGTACAGTTTGGTTATTTTGCTGCTCTGATGGGTCGCATAAGGCACCTGCCAGGGCAATCAAATATTTTGGACAGCTCTCAAGAAAAAGCTTAGGGAGGGTCTCATCAGTACTTTGTTTGTGTATGTTTGTAAATTCTTGGAGAGACGACAACTCCAATGATGTGGTTGTGATTGAAATGGTTTTCTAGGAGATGAATTGCTTCCTCCATATGGTTTTCTGCAAGTGTGTGCATTTTCTCCATTCTGTTCCTGAGCCATTCTCTGCTCTCTTCAATTTGATCTGTGATTTGAATTCTGAGCTGTTTTGTTTAAAAAGCATATCTGTGGTTTCCCATTCATGATAATGGAGGAGATAAAAATATCAATAATAATAATAATAATAATAATAATAATAATAATAATAATAATTTATTATTTATACCCCGCCCATCTGGCTGAGTTTCCCCAGCCACTCTGGGCGGCTCCCAATCAAGTATTAAAAACAATACAGCGTTAAATATTAAAAACTTCCCTGAACAGGGCTGCCTTCAGATGTCTTTTAAAAATAGGATAGCTACTTATTTCCTTCACATCTGAAGGGAGGGTGTTCCACAGGGTGGGTGCCACTACCGAGAAGGCCCTCTGTCTGGTTCCCTGTAACCTTACTTCTTGCAATGAGGGAACCGCCAGAACACCCTCGGCGCTGGATCTCAGTGTCTGGGCTGAACGATGGGGGTGGAGACCTTCCCCCTATTTTGCCAAAGTGGATACAGGCACAGCAGCCCCTTCAGAGTGCATTTAGCCTGTCAGATTGCAGACTAATAGGATGAGGAGGATTTTGTTGTTTTTGTTTTCTAGCAAAACCCATGTATCTAGTGAAATATAGGCAATTAGGAAAACCAAAAGATGATAAGGGCCAGGGTGCATTTGGGGTGGGGTATTGACATTGCATGTGATTTAAAAGGGGGGAACACAACCTTTCTTCATTATTTGGCCCCCACATACAGCCAATGTACACGCTTGTTATTAAATATGAAAGACATTTAAAAGATGTTTCTTTTACAGATATGAATGATTGTTTACAATGCCCAGAAGACCAGTATCCAAATAACCTCCAGGATTCATGCATTCTGAAATACATAAGTTATTTGTCCTATGAAGAACCATTGGGGATCAGTTTGACAATTGCTGCTCTCTCTTTTTCTTCCGTCACAGTTTGGGTACTTCAGATTTTCATTAAGCACCAGGACACTCCCATAGTCAAAGCCAACAACCGGAGCCTCACTTACACTCTCCTTTTCTCCCTCTTGCTCTCTTTCCTTTGTACTTTATTATTCATAGGTCGACCTGAAAAAGTAGTATGTCTCCTTCGACAATCTGTTTTTGGTGTCATTTTCTCCATTGCAGTTTCTTGTGTGTTGTCCAAAACAACAATAGTGGTCCTAGCTTTCATGGCTACCAAACCAGGATCCAGCATGAGAAAATGGATGGGGAAACAACTGGCCACCTCCATTGTTCTTTCCTGCTCCATGATTCAAACCACTCTTTGCATTGTGTGGCTCTCAACCTTTCCCCCATTCCCAGATTTGGACATGCACTCCATGACTAAAGAAATTGTACTGGAATGTAATCAAGGGTCAGTCGGTATGTTTTATTGCGTCCTGGGCTATATGGGTTTCCTGGCCATTGTCAGCTTCACTGTGGCCTTCTTAGCCAGGAAGTTGCCTGACAGTTTTAATGAAGCCAAGTTTATCACCTTCAGCATGCTGGTCTTTTGCAGTGTGTGGTTGTCATTTGTTCCAACTTACTTGAGCACCAAGGGCAAATACATGGTGGCTGTGGAGATCTTCTCCATTTTAGGCTCCACTGCTGGTTTATTAGGCTGCATCTTTTCCCCCAAATGCTATGTTATTTTACTGAGGCCTGAACTAAACAGCAGAGAACAGCTAATGGGGAAAAAGAGATAAAGAAGTTAAAAATGGATGGTAAAGTAAATCTAAGTTTAGCACTGTGCATATTGAGTGAAAACAATTGGAAGTGAGCATCTAACTGCTGACATGCTCCATAGATTTTAATGAGATATTGTGGTTTCAGGCATTGTGTGCTTATGAAACACTGTGCCTTTGCTATTGGAAGTATGGTCTCATTAACAGTAAGTTTAGTGGAAACTCAGTGAGTAGGTGTGAGTTTGAATTACTGCTTAAAATATATATGTTCATTTTATTGTATGAAATTAGAGATGATGCATGTTTTTATTGCTATTTGAATAAATACTGTAATAAATATTTTGACAAGCTTGCTGGCTATTACTATATTTTTGTATGTGCCATGTTCACCAAGTTTTGTTTTGTTTTTTGTTTCAAAGCAAAATTAGGTTGTTTTTAGTTCTGGAAAGATACATCATACCTTTCAGTCTAGAATATTTAGACTATTTAGAAATTCCTTACGCATGTAGTTTTGTTCTAGGTAAGTGATAGGGGGGGACACATGACAGTAGTGGGTGGTGCCTTAGGCAAAGTGGGGTGGGCAAGAAATGTACCTCTAAGCTTTATACTACAGTGGTACCTCGGGTTAAGTACTTAATTCATTCCGGAGGTCCATTCTTAACCTGAAGCACCACTTTAGCTAATGGGGCCTCCTCCTGCTGCTGTGCCACCGGAGCACAATTTCTGTTCTCATCCTGAAGCAAAGTTCTTAACCCGAGGTAATATTTCTGGGTTAGCGGAGTCTGTAACCTGAAGCGTATGTAACCCGTATGTAATAAGCGTATGTAATAAGCTAATTTCACATGCACTGAAGTCTCTATCCTCTATGAGGCAAAATACATTATCAGAACATATTCCAGCTACAGGGAAAGGATGGGAAGCAGGGTTTGTGAGAGGTGCACTCTGGGGAGAGGGGATGTGGCAGAGAGGGGTTGCAGTGTGGGGAGTTTCCCAATGAACAGGTGGAGAGCCTATGAGGGCTGCATTTGAACCCAGGATATGTATTCCCCCACCAAGGCTCTGATGGAAAGGTAAAGAAGGTGTTGGGCTTAAGGACTTCCGGGTTAGCGCCATCGGCGAATGGCGGAGTTCCTCCGACTGGAGGAACTGGCTCCGTGGAAACTGGTTCTTCCCGCCGCGGCGAAGGTGGGGACCCGCTAGAAATCCCAGGTGGAGGAAGCCTGGGAATGTGAGGTTCGGCAGGGCACCAGGAGCACCCTGCGCAACGGGAACCCCATTTTGGGGCTCTGGAGTGAAGTGGGGTGAGCGGCGCGGTGCTGCGAACTGATTGCTACTTTCACAGAGTGAAGCCGCACAGCCATTGCCGGAGAGCGCTGACTTTTTCCTGTGGACAATTGGATTTAAAACAAGTACCCGTGAGTAGAAACGGAAAATTGGATCAAGAAATATCTTAATTTGGCACCAAAGCGGGAAGGTTCAAAACAGGAAGTCCACCTTCCGCTTTTTGTACATAGACTGAAGCAAAAACCTTGTAAGCTAAAGTCTGGAAAGTAGTTAAAAAAGTTTAAATTTCCTTCATCTATAATTACTGAAACCCCCTTGGAAGCAGGAGAAAAGGGGGGGGGGACTTTGTTTAACGCCTGCAGGAGAGAGTGAAGAAAGATAAGTTTCCACCGTCTCTAACTTGGGAACGGGGTGTCAGAGACAGAAATTCTTGGAGAGGTTCATTGTGAATGGAATACTTTGACAGATAGCTAAAGAAGAGAAATAAATTGATTCCAATGTTGCCTTCTGCATTCTAAAGAAACAAAATATCTGAAAAATGAAAGTAATTTTCCTTTGTTGGACTTGCCTTAAAAAAATGGATACAAATAGAAATTGTCTCCTCTAGAGGGAGCTTGCTAAATTGTTGCTGCGTCTACTTGAGGTCTCTACAACTGTCAGATTAAGATCGTGGGATCAGTCCTTTTTGACCTTGACTAAATATGAGCTGGGATGAAGTTTTGGTGCTTGCTTTATGCAAGACAAGTGCCTTCCTGGAACAGATGCATGAGAAGATGGATTTGATGAATGAGAAAATGGATTTGATGACTGTTGTGGTTAATAACTGTGGACAAACAGGGAATATTGATACAGAAACTATTCAGGGACCAACTCAGGAACCTGTACTGATTGGGCAAGTGCAGAAGATAATGGAGGAGGTTGCGGTTGCACCTCAAATAATACAAATGGAGAGACCCGAGGCCCTACAGGAGTATAAGCCGCTGTCTTTGAAGATTGAAGTTGGAGTCGGCCAGGGGGAGTCTGGAGTTGAGGAGGTTCTTAACTTTGGAGAGACCTCGAAATATGTTTTTAAATATTTTTTGGACTACATTGATGATTGTGGAGAGTGGGACTCTGGGGAATGGGCTGGTTGGATGAAGGGAGACGAAGATAATTTTGGGTTAGAATCCCCCAGAGACCTACTCCCCAACGAGAAAGGAAAGAAATTAAGAAAGAGACCAACAAAAGACAAGGAAAAGTGCAAGAAGAAGATCTGCAGAAGGGACATGGAAGAGACTTAAGGGCCTCGGACATTAGATTACCAGGTTGATGGACTAGATGGAATGGACAGTAAGGACTGACACAACCCGAGACCAGGAAGAAGAGACGTTGGATGAAGATTGCAAGAAAATTTATAAAGAATTTTTTTTCAAGGGAATTAGCCTAAAATTAATGAACATTAGGGAAAATGTTGGAATGAAACTATATGACTCTAGTAGAAAAGATATCAGGAGTTATGTATAATCGAGTATTAAGCGTTAAGCTCTAAAGTATTTTTTGGTAAGATAAGGTTAAATAACTTAAGGTAATTTGAATAACAGAATATGGGGAAAGGATGGAAAGGATTTGTAGAGTTAATTAATAGGTTAAATTGTCAAGATAAATTATTTAGTAAAAATTGAAAAAGATGGAAAGAATTTGCTGAAATAATCAATCAAACTAGAATACAAAAAGGGAGGTGTGAGGAGGTCAATGAAACAAGCAAATGGAAGTTAAAGATATGTAATATGGGATTTGTGTCTTTTTATTCCCTTCTTTTTTATCTTTTCGCTGAATTGTTGCATTGGTTTTTATGTCTTGTTTTTTTTCCTTGTTTTTTTCCCCTATGTATTGTAGTGTTGTTTTTAATTTTTTTTCTTTCTTTTCTGTAATTTTGAAATTATTAATAAATATTAATTAATTAATTTTTTTAAAAGAAGGTGTTGGTCTTAGAACTGCTTGCTCTCAGTACCCACAGGGATTGGACAACCACACAGAGCATCCCTCAGTGAAATGATGCAAATATTTAATAGAATTCCATCCTCAGTGAGAGAATGTGTTCCAGCAGGACTCTCACTGTATTGTATCACCAGAGTTACTGAGTAGAAAGTCACATGCATAAATCTGAAATTAAGCATATATACGCGGGTGGCGCTGTGGGTTAAACCACAGAGCCAAGGGCTTGCCGATCAGAAGGTCGGTGGTTCGAATCCCCACAATGGGGTGAGCTCCCGTTGCTCAGTCCCTGCTCCTGCCAATCTAGCAGTTCGAAAGCACATCAAAGTGCAAGTAGATAAATAGATAAATAGGTACCGCTCTGGCGGGAAGGTAAACGGCATTCCCGTGCACTGCTCTGGTTCGCCAGAAGTGGCTTAGTCATGCTGGCCACATGACCCGGAAGCTGTACGCCGGCTCCCTCGGCCAATAAAGCGAGATGAGCGCCGCAACCTCATAGTCAGCCACAACTGGACCTAATAGTCAGGGGTCCCTTTACCTTTTTTATACTTAAACTGCATGTGCTTATGCCAATAAAGGTAAAACAAACAAATAAAACCCCTCCATGTGTGGATGAAAAGGGCAGGGCTCATGAGTGATCTGTATAATACCCTGAGCTGGATTCAGAGTTTAGCATCCAGACAAGGCTAAAGGGGTTTCTTCTTAATACTCTCAGGAAACAGGAAATTAAATGTGAATTGAATCAGATTTCTACCTCATCCCTATGAGATGTGAATAAGGACCCAGTGAAGAAGCGGATATCTTTGGAACTAAAATGATAGCACATGATGATTGGCCCAATGTTTATGTACGAAACCATTCTGGAACTGTACAAAGTCCAAGCATACATCTAAACTGTCATGAACTATCTTCCAGGCTCCTTCCACTGTCCACTTCCAACTTTTTAAAAAGTCTGCAAAAATATTTTTTACTAAGTTTCCCAAAGGAAAAAAAATAGTTGAAACTCTGATGTTGGTTCATATCATCCATTTATTTGTAGGCCATTTTATAACCATGCTCTGCTTAAAGTTGCATAGTATGCAACACGTTAAGCAAACTTAGGCAACCACTATGCCAACTGAAAACAGAATAGGAACAAATGTATCTGTAGCACCGTGGATAAGTCAATACACAACAACAGTGTCAACAAAATTCCAGTACATAATTATATGAAACTTTAACACAAATCAAACATACTGTAATATTCTAATCCATCTGCTTGAAACCATTGGGAACAAGAACAGGGCGAAATACACAAATTAATTAGATTACATGTAAGGTCTATTATAGTTAGTTAGTTAATTAGTTAGTTAGTTAGTTAGTTAGTTAGTTGATTCTATGCTGCCCTTCATTTTAACATCACAAGGCAGCTTAGAATATAAAAACACAGAATATGTACCATAATAAACAAAAACAATAACTTGCCACACATCTGAAGGTAGCCCTGTTTAGGGAAGTTTTTAATGTTTGATATTTTATTCTGTTTTTAATATTCTGTTGGGAGCTGCCCAGAGTGGCTGTGGAAACCCAGTCAGATGGGCAGGGTATTAATAATAATAATAATAATAATAATAATAATAATAATAATAATAATAATAATAATAATTAGTAGTAGTAGTAGTAGTAGTAGTAGTATTACTATTATTAAAAAGGCCACATATTGTTTAATTAGCCAAAGGCCTGGGAGAAGAGGAAATTTTGCCTGGCGCCTTAAGATATGTAAT